GTCGTTCACATGACAACTCTGACAGTGCTGGTTGCGCGGCTGACAAAGTGGATGGTGCTGAAGTTCGCAGATCTGAAAGGCTTTTGGGGAAAACCCCACAGCTTTATAACCTTTGTGCTTTGTGTTTCAGGTGATCCTGAATCGTTCGAGAAAGCAGTCGCTGGTGATAATTCTGATGATTGGAAGAAAGCTATGAAAAGTGAATTTGAGTCGTTAATGGTTAATGAGACTTGGGTGCTAGTTGACTTACCTCCTGGCCGAAAAGCAATACCTTCAAAGTGGGTTTTCAAGACGAAACGGGTGTGGTGTTCCAATTCGCAGAAAAGCTAGGCTAGTAGCCAAAGGGTATGGTCAACGCTAGGGAATAGATTACCTTGAAACCTTTGTCCCAGTCGTTAGGTACGAATCTTTAAGATTCCTAATAGCATTAGCTGTCAAGTTCGATATGCGAATTCATCAAATGGATTTTGTTTCGGCGTACCTCAATGGCACACTGAAGGAAGAGGTGTTTATGTCCCAACCACAAGGTTTTAGTGACGGGTCAAACAGAGTATGTAAATTACTGAAAGCCATTTACGGATTGAAGCAGTCCGGGCGTGTTTGGAACAAAACACTCAACATCGAACTGCTCAGAGCACGTCTTACGAGAAGCGACATGGACCAATGCGTCTATTATCGAGTCGCTGATGGTCACTTGATATATATAGCTATCTACGTAGATGACGTTCTGTTATTCTTTAACGATAAGAAGCAGATAGATTCCCTGAAAGTCTCACTAGAAAGTTCGCAATGAATGACATGGGAGAAGCTACAACGGCTCTGGGTATTCCAATAACACGTTCGCCGAATTCAATTAAGATTGATCAGTCGCAATACATTGGCGACTCGTTTCGGTATGGCCGACTGCAATCCCGATGCAACACCGTTGGACTATAATCAAAAACTTTCTATCGATATGTGCCCAAAAGGGGACTATGACAAAGGCCATATGGCAAAACGCCATACATGCAGGCGATAGGATGCCCGTTGTTTGCTGCGCAGGTAACTAGACCCGATATATCCTACAGCGTGAACGTGTTAAGCAGGTACGGTACAAATCCAGACAATCCATTGGGAGGCTGTGAAGAGAGTACCTGAAGCAGTCACAAGGTAATGTTGTTGGTTACTGCGATGCTGATTGGGCTGGAGACATAGATGGCAGGCGTTCGACTACTGGGTACGTTTTTACATTCCAATCTGGAGCTATTGCTTGGTCGACGAAAAGACAATCGCGCTTTCATCAACAGAGGCAGAATTTATGTCTTTAGTTGCTGCTATCCAGGAGTCCGTTTGGCTGAAAAGATTGGAAGGCGAGCTTATACCTCACGATGACTACTGCTTGTCTTTGTATTGCGACAATAAAAGTGTTATCTCGGTAGCGCAAAACAACTCCTACTCATCACGCCCTAAACACATCGATATTAAGGCAAAATTTATCCGTCAACAGATAGAAAATAAAGCTATAGAATTAAAGTATCTGCCCACTAACGAAATGATAGCAGATATTCTAACCAAAGGCATCACTGCGCAAAAATTGAAATATTTGATAGATAAATTCGGCCTTAAGTAAAATTTTTTAAATTTATAAATGTAAATGAATGAAATGAATTAATATATTTGCAAATTATATAAGTATATAATGAAGATACATATATACTATATATGTAAATGAAAGACATGATCAACTAAAAGTTTTAAGATAACTAAGTCAGGGAAAGAGTTGAAAAATGAATTACTTATATGGCCCTGTGTTTCTCATGCACTTCATAAAGTACAAATGCAGCCCTGTTTTTATGTAATTGTAATGTAGCAACATGGTCGAGCCAGGCGAGGCGGCATGCAGGCATGCTTGCATCCCAAGCTAGCTCGTCGTCGGGGTGGGTCATTTCCGTCTGCCTTGCTGTCAACTACATTAGCAAAAAGATATTCATGCCTGATACCTAGTGTAATAGTGGAGATGACTATAGCAAATGAGAAGAAAGCAGAGAACAAAGAGATACCAACAAATGAAGAGATGGTCCTGTCCTGTCAGGTGGAGTCATCCCACCCTTCTTCTACGCGAACTTCACGCGAAGCCTTGGGCGTTGTCGTGACTCCTCACCTACTTTACAACGCCCCCTAAGCTGACATCAGTCCGTCTATCTAAAAGTCCGTCATTATACCGTCATTGTCAACGTTTGTACACTCCCACTTCCCCTCTGCTGCACAAGCGCAACACCCACACTAAAAATTTCGTGCTTAGCACTTCATTGCGGAAACCCAACACTTAACCAAAATCAACCTCAAATCATTCCTTTCCTTTTTTTCTCACTTTATTATTACATCAAACTTTAACCCTAATTACAACAAAAAAGTCCAACACTTAACTCTAAAACTCAAATTCACAATCCAATTTTTAACTCTACAACTCAAACTCTAAAATTCCATATTTAACTCTAACACTCAGATTCAAAATCCAATATTTAACTTTACCTCAACCTCTAAAACTCCATCTTGGACCATACCTACACGAAATACTTAAACCTAATCTCAATCCCTATCTACTCCTAACATAAAATTCCAGTTTAAATCCACGTACCCTAATGCTAGCTAAATTCTATTGTTATACCTCTAAGGGCCGTTTGCACCATGTCTAGTTAACGCTAACTGGAGGTACATCCTTCAGTTAAGCACGTTAACTGCTTTATCGATCACATGTTATATGATGGGTGTCGATAACGTCGATAAAGATGTTTAACTGGGAGTTAGAATTAACTAGACATGGTGCAAACGGCCCTAAGCGACCTACAACACATTCATTACCGCGCAATCTGAAGAGTTCCTTAATTAAATATCAAATTCAATTGCCATAACAATATTAAATGAACTTCAAAAATTTACAAAATTAACTTACGGTGGTAACCCAATGGATTCATGTATATCTGCAATTACATACGTATGTGCACTTAATGTGCATGTGCGTATGTATTTACATACATATATATAAATATATATATGTATGTAAATAATAATGTAGGCAAATTTCGCACTCACCTTGGTCTCCAGAAATGATGGCGCCAGCACTCTGTTGAGAACCTGTTTGGGAGAATTAGAACCCTAACATACATACATATAATCTAAGATATTTCATGCATATGCTCGCCTTCTGCCACGTTGCTGAGGCGTCGACCTATCAGTCTTCTACGAGCGGGTCATAACAAGCGTGCGGGAAACTCAAAATAATACAAGGGTGAATGAAATTATTATTTAAAAATTTAAGCTACCTGTACGTAAATTAAAGACACAATTAATTCAACGTCGCGATTAACTCAAATTCAGGCCTTAACGCGAAACTTTAGGCTACATCTATCTACATATCTATAAACATATGCATACATATATGTATATGGATATACATATGCTCATATAAGTGAAGAATAGCTAAAATAAAGTGAAAATACGTATGGAGCCGAACGAAAGGAAAAAAAACGTGTTGAGCCCAACCAAAAAAATTTACAGTAACAAGGTGAAATTAATGAGTGGCAAAAACTAGATGCTTTGGAAAAAAAATACGTACGGCAAAATCGATTATTACTTACAAAAATTAAAAAAAAAAACCTAAATAAAATAATCAGTCTAAAGCAAGATGCTAACGACAAAAAAGCGACCACCCTACTACTGGCAATTTGACGTTAAATTAAATACGAAAACAACAAAACGGCAAGTAGAACTACGTATATGTATGTACCCTGGCATGTATGTACATATGCATAAAAATTTAACCAAAATAGAATATAAAATCCAACTGGAACTATGCTCCCGGCGCTGCTGTTCATCGACGGTATATGTGGAGCGATAGTCTCCACTGCTCTCTCCCACACTGCTGCCGTCGATGTTATGCTCCTCTCCACTGTTGTGCTCCTCCTCTGCTTGATGGAATCCACATGTATGTCGAGTGGCCGTTGACCTACTCCGGCCGGGATATTTTAATCAGCTGTTCCTGGTGATGTTGTTGCTGCNATATATGTATGTACCCCGGGCATGTATGTACATATGCATAAAAATTTAACCAAAATAGAATATAAAATCCAACTGGAACTATGCTCCCGGCGCTGCTGTTCATCGACGGTATATGTGGAGCGATAGTCTCCACTGCTCTCTCCCACACTGCTGCCGTCGATGTTATGCTCCTCTCCACTGTTGTGCTCCTCCTCTGCTTGATGGAATCCACATGTATGTCGAGTGGCCGTTGACCTACTCCGGCCGGGATATTTTAATCAGCTGTTCCTGGTGATGTTGTTGCTGCTGGCTCTAATTATTAGCCGGGTTATCGGCACAGCTGTAGGGCTTAGATATGGGCCACCTTGTCGAGTCGCCGGGTGACAGTTAAGGTGGTTTCGTATCTTGCATGAACGTATGCACATATGTATATGCCCGAGTACGTTTGTACACTTGCGCTGATGCCCGGCCCTTGTTGGTGTGCTTTATTTGCCGGTGCGGGTGGTTGTGGGCCGTAGGAGGTAGCGTTTACGCATATATGGGCGTATGTATGTATTTTTATTTGGCTGCAACTCCAAAGTTTTCTTCCTGAATGCTTGGGCTGATTTTTCGGGTTTAAACTACCGTGTTGTTGTAAAACAATGGAGGTCGCTTCGCTGTGTTAGCAGGCGACCTGAAATCAATAAAAACTTCCATTTAGCCNGCTTCGCTGTGTTAACAGGCGACCTGAAATCAATAAAAACTTCCATTTAGCCCTCTTTGATATATTTAAGATTTTAATCTCGCGTACACTTTTGCTACATTTGAGTCTCACACATCTAGGTACTTGGACATATGCGTATCAAAGGTGTCAAATNCGCTAGTATCCTGGTAGAGCACTGGGCGACCGTATTCACTCACTTTAACTTTAAAACTTTAAACTTTATTACTTATACCACAAGCAACCACTTTAAAATTACACTTAACTTTCACTGTACAGTACCACCGCCACTTTCGTTTTAAGAACCGCTTGTCTCAGTTTTGGTCCTTATATATATTTCTACGTCAAGTGACCGATTCCGTATTAGTTATGTTTATATTTACTTATTTATGTACAAAGGAATACATAGAAAATACGGTATAAGTCGAACATTCACACATACACACACATACTCAAGACTGCTTCACCGAACCATAATTCTAGCGAACTTTCTCACTCTAACGTAGTTACTTTCTTTTGGGCATCATGCATGTGTTTTACATAGAGGTTTGATCGGCTTACAGACACACACACACACAATTTAACATCAAAGTATCTGGCAAGCAACTGGCGCTACAGGCTCGGACCCGCCGATGGTTCCCGCACCAT